CTTCTCCCTTCCCCCCCCCCCCTTTCCCCTCTCCCTTCACCAACAGTTCGATGAAATTCGGATAGACTCTCACGACACAGCTGAACATAGCACTACTTCTGAACATTGTCCCTCATTGAAACATCCAAATTGATCAACTAAACAATCCCACTGTAGAAAAAAAACTATCTCTCTTATGATAACATCCCAGCGATTTATAATAGAAAGGTCCAAAGCAACTTATAATACTTAGACCTGCAAGAGAATCAAAAGAGTGCCTCAGTGATCACTGAAGGGTTTACACAGACTACTACAAAATTTTAGGATCCAGCTTTTTTCCTAACAGATGCCGTCATTATTGAGTTCGGATCTTCTTCTTGAATGCGGTAATTAAAATGAAATCTAAGAAAAATTTGAAATTTCCATATTTTTCATCTCAAGCTCATAGAGCAAACCTTTGGAAAAGGAAACTTTGGTGTCGAGGTGTTTTAAAGATACTTATTTATTAGCTCGCAATACTTCGCTATCAAATACACCTTTTTCTTAATGGCATATATGTATCCCATGAATTTCAGTTGAAATTTGAAAACGCACCATTCCCTTCTATCACATTGTGCAATTTAAATCCGTACAAAAAAAGTGCTATAAATCTCAACCCAGAGACAAAGGCAATGGTGAGTTCTTTTTGATGCAATAAATTTCAGTGACGATGTGGCGAAGATTGGTGGGGCAAATTACAACCACAGTTTTCAGATAGACGCTTATTCTAAGCGAATATCAGCCGGGGACAAGTCGGAAGGTATTGCCGCCGCTTTAGCATCTCACTTTCACTCAAGAGGTACGCCATGCTCCTACCCTACTTTTGCTTTTTTTCTCTTTGAACTTCCGATACTTCATTTGTGATCCTCACTTGCTTTGTTTCTAAGTTTCGCTTGGCGCATCTTAATTAATAATCTTATTTCCTCTTTGACCGTTTCGCTTTACAAAACCGTTCCACCGGAATTCTAAATACCATAGATCCACTGCTTTGTCGTAAAGGCAGCACATCGTAGGGTATGAACTCCTCAAAGCAGGGGAGAAGATCGGATATGGCCCCTGGAGGACGGGTGGTGTGCTTTTCACGGCAAAACACCCATCCCCCTCTCCTTGTCGACACCGCTGCAATATCTATTTCTAACAGTGTGTCGGAGAATAAGACTCGATGCTCGACGGACGTTGGGGCCGATGGTTGGGGCGGGGGAGAGGGGGAGAAATATCATATCGCTGAAGTGTTCACCAGGATGTGCCCTAACTTATGATAGCTGCTGTTTAATGCTGCAATTAGCGATCCTAAAGTTATTAGATTCAACAGCTCAGTGTGTAGTCCACTTTCGAGTACTGACTAGGGCAAGCGTTTCGCCCACACTTCCACAACAAAAAAGCCCTTTAATTGATTGGATCTGGGTCGTTTACCGTGCGAGAATCACACGAAACAAATTTATCTCGTTGAAGCGTGGCGGCGATAAATACAACAGCAGGTGGCGAAAAATAATAGAATCACTTCAAGTGTAGGTTTTCTATCTGACCGATTCATACCGAGGGAAGATAAAAAAACCATTCTCTCAAAAAACATGGAGAGTCATGAACTTCCCGCTAGCGAAGGGAAAATTACGTGTTCAGTTGTTGCTGTTTCACTGGGCGGTTTACCGGTATCTTTCCCAACAGTTGAGCATTTCTCATCTTCGAGTAAATGCCGTAGGAACAACGAGTGATTACCCCTGCAGTGCGTTCATTTCTTTTGGTGTCATCTTTTTTTTCAAAATGATGGATCGTTATCTTTCATTATCATCACTTTATTTTGCGCTATCCCAATGAGTTATCCCAGTCTAGGATCTTTAACGAGTTGCAGGACATTCTTGCAAGACACGACCCGTACCCTAAATTTTCTTTCTACACCACCCCCTCTCACAACTTACCTATTGACTTTGACGTCGAGCGTGGATAGGGCCATAGCTTGCAAACTGCAAAAAGCAAAGCCTGATTCACATTTGTAAGAATTTCTTTCGAGACGAAATATGTACACTGCTCGCTAAAGAGCAGACACGACCCTGCTGCGATTTCCACAATGACAATGACGATTACGACTTTGGGCGCTTTACGCATATCTAGGCTCGTTC